TTTCGGTGGAATGTGGCGAATGAATATTTGTAATCGACGTAAATTACTTGAAAGGGATTGCATAAATGAGATTTAATAATTGTAATCGATCGATTGATCAATTTGATCGATTGAGAAAAAAACAAAATGTTTATCTTTCGGAATTTAAAGTACGATATTCAAATAAGTTAATCAAAATTTTTGGTATTTTCTATTAGAGGAGTTCTTGCAATCCCTAAGGGAAAATATGTTTTCGTCGAGATAAATAAGGCTGGCTTTTTATATAAACAACGTGAAATATAAGCCACATATTTTACATTGTTTATTATCGTAAAACATATACGGTAGTTACATAATAAATATTGTATTAATTATTTTAAAAATAAATATCATGTAGAAAAGTTGAATAGTATTTATAGAGTAAGGAAAATGCTTCTTGCAATATTACTTTTTATTTAATATAAAGCTGAATATATCAAACATTGAGTAATAATCACTCTTATGCTAATAGAGATGCATTTGAATAGCGTGTATTGTTACGTCAGATAGAGGCACCTTTTTAGTTATTGTAATGAAGTGTGAAATTATATCAAATTGGTATAATAATGTACAGTACACTATTCTGACAAAACGAATGAATCTTAAATAATTTAGAACAGTATTTCTTATAAGAATGGGGGAACATTTTTGGTGTTTCTTCAATTGCGAGAACTAATATATACAGTAGTATGTATCTGCCTAGGTGTATGCGAATATTTACGTACAGTACATTATGTGGTAGATAAGTATGTATATAGGTTATGAAATATCGATGAAAAGCATATAAATTAAGAAAACAAATATAAATTTTTTATTTAACAACGAGCGATTATTTATTGTGACATCGTCACAATGCCAGGATGTAATTTTTAATCATATTTATTTATTTAATTTAAAATATATGCTCTCCACCTCAAATTAGTAGTGGTCCCTGTGCATCATACTTTTCCTTTAACAATAGAAATGTGCCTGTCATCTATTAACTGCTTTCAGAGAAAACTTTGAATTGAAATAACGTGATTTCTGGTGAAAACCGGGAGCTCATTTATAGTTAATCGGGCCTCCTGCCCCTAAGATTTCCATATCTAGTCTCAGATTTTATCTATTCTCTGTTCTCGAGACTAAAGAAAGACGGGTGGACAGATGGAAGACAGTGGGAATTCATAGGTCTACAACTTTTTCAAATTTCAGCCCAACAATAATCATACTAAATACACGTAGTAAATTTTTACTTATAACAGATGAGATTGGATTGGATTGACGAGAGAAGAAAACGCTGACTCAACGCTTGGGCGATCTGTCAAAAGGATGGCCCGGGAGACTTTCTATGGGAAACTGACCCCATATTTAGGCATTAAACATGTGAAGAAACCCCGGAAAACTACATTATGTATATATTGAATTTAGTGTATGTTTATATTGTATATACGTATACAGTCTGTTCTACTATTATTGTTTTCTAACTGATACTTGACCAAAGCCCATTGGACAGGAGAGAAACCACGACCGACTATCAGTATTCACTGGTTTACCGATTATAACACTCTGTTGAAACACCGGTAGCACCATCTTGAAGCCCTCTTGACACAATAGAACTTTTGTCTGGAACGTATTTTTAATTATTTATTTATTTATTGTAGGATGCAAATTTCTCGAGATATTTGCGTGTATCGATTAAAATGGAACACCTTGTATAAACCGAGCTATTTGACGGCTAGATGGCCGAGCGGTTATTAAAGTGTCAGATTTGATCCGCTCCCAGAATCAAATCTCAGACAGATCGAAAAATCCTATCTGGATATATTCGTCCCTCACCTCCTAGCCGAACCCATAACGAGCTTTACAAAAAGGTTCTCTCAGGGGTCATAGGGCGTAAAGAGTTTTTAAAAAAGAACTATTTTTCTCCGCCCACCAGTGACCAAGTGGATAAAACCACTAAACGCTGATGATCGTAGGTTCGATTCCCGTGATAATCAGTATTCAGTTGTTTTTTTAGTGTCTAACACCTAAATGGGGACCGGTTTTCCATAGAAGTCGTTTCTGGAGATTTTCCTCTTGGTGGATGGCCCATGTATTACATCGCCTTACAACCATCAATTCAGCTTAATCCTGTTTTTCAGACGGAATGCGCTAGTAACCCGTACCGACACATAAAATAAAAAGTATCGATAGCTGGTAAGTAGTACCGGAAGTTGCTCAATAAAAACAATTGTATAGTCATTAAAGGTTACACTTTACAAAGGACACACGTATACAATATTTTGTGATATAATACCTAGCTATTAGAGTACATTAAAAAAATATACAATTTGCGTTCTCAGAAAATCGTATATAATTCTCAGAAAATCGTATATAAATCATATAAAAATATTTTAATTTGAGTCCTATGTAAATTTATTCTGAAAGTTTCAATATAAATGTCCAATATATCATAGAGTTATAACACAAAATTTAGATCTGTTGTAGAGAGAATATTGTCTATACGTTTATTACAGTTTGATATATCTGAAAATAATGTTAAAATTACGTATTGTCATATGTGATTAAAAGATCTATTTCTATTGTTTAAATAAAAATTTATATAAAGCAGTAGAAACAGTTTACAAATGAGTTAACAAAATAAAATGGTTTGAATAATGTACGGTACTCCTATCTAGAACAATTAAAGTTATAAATTCAGTGGCGTACCGTGGGTGTCAGCCGCCCGGGGCGGAGGAAAATTTCGGCTCCCCTTATTTAGGTATTTCAATTTAAAAGACCAAAATTCAGTTTTGTCACAGAACAAGCAATAAAAAATTCGGTGGTAGTGCAGCGACCTGTTTAAAATAGTTCTATTGGATATTAGTGGTGTATATGAACGCGAATGAATCGTACAAGAAAAAAAAAGGTCAACAGGTTTCGCAGGATTTCCTCGGATGAAAAAATTACTAGTTCACTCGGACGGCGAGCCGATTCCCGGACTGTCCGGACGATAATTATCACTATCGTAGGCGCGATGCAAGTATAGATTAGGATATTTCAAATTTTTACAAGATATTATTATTATTTATTGTGAAATTTTGCCGCCCCCTAAAAAGTGCCGCCCGGGGCGGGCCGCCCCTGCCGCCCCCACTACGGTACGCCACTGTATAAATTTAATGTTCGGCTAGAGCCGGAGATGAAGCAGGAATTGTAGCAGAAGCCAGAAAATTTATCTGACGGCCATATTCTTCTTTTTCTTTATCCCGTGGGTTAATATGGAGACTTCAGTCATGCTTGCTCTGTTCTCCGAAATGCGCTGCTCGGTGTTTAGGTGGCGGCCAGATGACCGCAGCGGTTTAACTTATGCTCTGGGGGCAAGGTTCTATGGGCTACGACTGCCTGGATTTTTCATGAGTGCAGAGGAGGAGGCAGCCGTCCTCTCGGGATTCAATGTTGTATGGGATCTGGTTGAAGAAACTGCGTTCCCCGAAACCCCGAAATTCATTCAGATAAGCGGATGATGAATACATCGGACCCGTTTCCCTCAGCTTCTTGTCGACCCCAGTACAGTGGACCTTTAGGGCATCAGTTCTGAGCGGTTTTCCCCACAAAATATAAATATCAGTGGCGTACTGTAGTGGGGGCGGCAGGGGCGGCCCGCCCCGGGCGGCACATTTTAGGGAGCGGCAAAATTTCACAATAAATAATAATAATATCTTGTAAAAATTTGAAACATCCCAATCTATCGTCGGGACAGTCCGGGAATCGGCTCGCCGTCCGAGTGAACTAGTAATTTTTTTCCAAGGAAATCCTGCGAAACCTGTTGACCTTTTTTTTTCTTGTACGATTCATTCGCGTTCATATACACCACTAATATCCAATAGAACTATTTTAAACAGGTCACTGCACTACCACCGACCGTACCGGCGGCTGACACCCACGGTACGCCACTGATAGATACAGAAAATTTATTCAGAGCGGAGATGTACCCGGAGCCATGATTACAACCATACTTCTGAGGACTCATGTTTTTTACAAATTGGGTGTTGTAACGTTGTGACTTATCTGTTGTAACTTGATTTGAGTGTCGGGTCAGGGGTGAACATTCCAACATATCTTTCGGGAGTCGGAGAGAGTTCTTGTGTACAAGAACTCGTAGTCGTCACCCCAGTCGGTTGTATCGAGAGGGAATAAAGTTAATTGTTGATTAACTACGTATTTTTTATGTGCAACAGTGTCGAAAACAAAAGCGATATAAAATTGGGTTCTCCTGAGAACTCTTATTCTCTCTCTCTCTCTCTTCAAATCTGTTCGACAATGCTTACCGGTTCAACCGCTGAGTCCTGACATCATTCAAAACTGTTAGCTATAAAGTTTCCGGTGATATACCTGTTGTTACGGATTCGCCAATCTTCGAGGATGTGATAAAAAATGATCGATCAACCGCTAATGATGGCATTTCCAAATAGAATCCTTGGTGAAAAATAGTACTGGAATATGCGAAGAATCGGACATGAGACGTAGAAAATTTTATACGTCTGTAGTATAAATAAAGATCTTGTCTCGAAAGAGAAATTCTGCATCCTCTTCTTCTAACGACCCAAAACCAAGATAAAATAGATTAAAACTTCATATACATGTATCGAGGGAAACTGACCGGAGTCGGTTCTCTGATTGAAGGGATCCACGACAACAAGTAAAAAATTTTTTATTTATTATTTTTAAGTTGTAATTTTTAAATTGAAGATTTAAACATTTCCCATGTCGTCCGTCTGTTTGTCTATCTGACTGTCTTTTGTTACTCTCGAGAACGGAGTTAGATAGATGAAAATGGAGACCAGATAAGGAAAGCTTAGGTTCACGTGGTTTTTTAAAATAAATTCATAAAGCGGCATATTTATACCTAAATAAATTTGAATAAAAAAATAAAAAAATAAAAACTTTTGAAATTACCATGAAAGAATAGAAATATATTTTGCAGATGTTAACAATTTGTATTAATTGTGACGCATTGTTAATTATAGATATAATTATAATATTATTATAATATTTGTTAATGTTTTTACTGAATAATGCATGATTTTAGAATCTTAATTTGTATTTGGATAGCCATTCCGTTCATCTTCTCAAAAAACGAAATATCAGAGGAAGTAAAGTAAAAACCTTTTATTTCTCAAGTATTTTATTTTCTATTTCGATAAAAAAAATAATAACTTTTATACTATTCTGTTTTTTCTTAATAATTTTATATTAAGCTGTTTATATTTCTTAACGTTTATTTTGCTATTATTAACAAATAATATTCATTTACACAAAACTTAAAGTTGAGTTTTCCTATAATTTCTAATTTTTATTATATTTTATATTTCAGGGAAACACCTAAAATTATTGCAGAGAGAACGATGGAAGATTATCAAAAGTGCCTAAAAGAAGGCAAAAAAATATTAGAAGCCGAAGCGGTTCTCGTAACTTACGGAATGAAAGTTTTAATGAAATGTCACTATTGGTATTTTATAGCTTAATAAAACCTATAATTACTTGTTAGATATAAATTTAACTTATTAAAATATAATTTTATTTTCTCGGCTGTTAAAGTAACAGTAGGAAAGTATTATAATCGGTCAAATTCTATCCTTTCGGGTTTTAAGATTTGCCAATAGTTACTGAGAGAAGAGCTGAATTTTTAAAAATAAAAACATACCAGAAAAGCACCACATTTTCTGTTACTTAAAAAATTCATTTGGTAATATTATTGATAAATAAGTTTTGCTAGTACACAGTAATAGCATTAACATTAAATATACCATACATATGCATTAACTCTTTCCACCCTGTGGACACTAAAAGAGCCTCTTTTAGCAAGCCCGTTATGGGTTTGGCCAGACCCACAATGGGGCGGCCGGGTGGTGTGAGACGGGGCACGACATATTTCGCCTAGTTCTGGTCATAATATTTTACTATAATTACTAAAATATCAATAAATCTCTAAATCCATTTAAGTTATCATCTTAAAATTTATAATAAGATAATAAGTCTAAAAATATGTTTATATATACTGTATTGAGTTAAAACTTCACTTCAATAAATTTTCGATTTCAAATTCAAATGAAACGAAATGGTGCTCATTTTTATTTGCAGACCGGTAATGTTTTTGTATACACAATAGCGAGTTGAAGCCCAAGTTTTAAACGCGAAAACGTGTACGTCGGACGTTTAGCGCCGCTTTCCTGTAAGCCTAGAAGTTTGACAATGGTGTTTGGAATGTCGAGCATAATTCCACTGATATTTTTTTTAATACTCTTTCCGCCGTGGGCACTAAGAGGGCCTCTTATAGCAGGCCCATTATGGGTTCGGCTAGGCCCACGATGGGGCGACCGGGTGGTGAGGGACGGGGCCCGACATTTCATTCATTCATTCATTCATTCATTTTTATTTAAGTACTTGGTACATGTCCCGGCCCCGCTAGAGCATTACTAGGATGTTATACATATTCTTAAATATATATAGTTACCAATATTTGTATACATATACAATAATAACAAATAGTAATAAACAATATGAGTAAATAAGTTATATTTTAAATACGCTTATGACGTATATTAGGATAAATAAAATTATCAAAACGAATTATAATGTTCAGATAAACAAAAGAAAATAAATAAATAAATAAATGCTTAGCAGTTTACAGCTGTGCAGAAGAGCTCTTCGAGAACATTGCAGATGTGTACTTTAAAGTCTTTTGTTCTAAGCAGAACTTTATGTGTCAGTGAATATCACTTGGACCCAAGTAAAATCAGTGTTCAGAACAGTCCTTATAAAAGTTAGTGGTTTGAAAGTTACTACACACGTCTATAAATAGTTTATAGTTGTGTAGATTCATTGGAAGAAAAAAAACAAGAAACAAGGTTGAGCCATCAATAAGCGGAATGCCCAGCGAAGATTGAGGTATGTCGATTATGCTGCTGTTGTGCAGATCATCTAAGCACGAAGGAAACATAGCTGAGCTACATATAAATTAAAAGCCCAGCGAAGTTGGAGTAGGTGAATTTCACTGCTTTGTAGCACATTGAATGAATTAGGGCTCTTAGGTACATAAAGCCCACTTCACAATGCGCTTTGAAGGACCATAAAGCACTTTACACGTTGCCCATTGAACTTTGGAGCACCGTATAACACATTGTAGCATATTGCACATGTAGCAACATAAAACACTATAAGCACCATGAAATACTTATAGCACCACACAACAAATGAAAGCACTAAACACACTTAATCACATTGCACTGTAAAGCACATTTTGAAGCACCATAAGCACGTACCCGACATATTCGAACGGACCACCCCCCATAAATTCCCGGGAATGCCTTGACCCGTCCGAATTCGATCCCGGGTCCCCCAGAGCGGTAGGCTGCCACCTTGACCACTCGGCCATCCGGCCGTCTTAATTCCACTGACTATCCAAACATCATTGTCAAACTTATAGGCTTACAGAAAAGCGGCGCTGAACGTCCAAGTACACTTTTTCGCGTTTTAAACTACGGCCTCAACCTCGCTATTACAAACTTTGAAAAAACTGATAAACGGAAACATGATAAAAATTGTTATTTAATTAAACATAATTTCGTTATATATTACAAGAATAATTATGAATATTGAATTTTCTGTAATCGAAATTTTCTTGAATAGTGCCCACCCAAACGAATCAGTATCGAGAATTTGGAGAGTAGCTTATGCAAAAACAGCTACATACGAAATTGTAAAATTGGATGGAAAACGGACTAGAATTCTTTCCGATCTTTCGCTTCTTATTATAAAGCCGAAAGATACAGATTCTGGAATGTACTACTGTAATGCAGAAAATAAGCTTTATGCTCGTTATAATTTGGAAATTGTCGAAGAAGAACCGCATCATATTGTAAGTAAACGTATCTTTATATCGTATTTTAAAGCAAATAAAATGGAATTTTTGTTTTTTAAAAAACAGAGTCCAAAAATCGTCCTGTATCTTATAATACAGTACAGTATGAAGTTGCAATCTCCCGTAGGCTAATGAATTCACCAAATGGTTTTCAGTAGTCTACAGATAACTCTAACCAAACTCTTAAATAAAAATGTTATTGTTTAATTAAACGTATAATAATAATTATTATTATCATTATTAGAATGAACACTTTTATTTGCATATAACCGTGTAGAATATTGTACAGTAATGGTAAATGACTTCTTTTAAACTCTTGTTTTTTCCGAATAAATAAAAATGTGCACTCTAGTTTTAATCTTTTAAAGCCAAAATATAGTTTAAAAAATATCCAGCAACGAGTTGCCTAACTTCTCCGGCTATTATGAGATTTGTTAGAAAATTTTTTTATTTTTAATTACTATAAAATGGCAAAATGCTTAATTTTGAGAGTAGAGATGAGTTTTATAAGAAAGTGTAAATGTTGATAACAAATAAAATCTCTATTAAGTTCTACTCCTCTCGAAATATGACATGTGATCCTCTCTATCTCCTCACTCTCTCGACCTTTCACCACCAAAATTTAATCTTGATGTTTATTAGAAGAGTTCAACAAATAGTTACGAATTTACACGAATTGTATCTAACTTTGAAATGATTTTAAAATAAAGCTGTGGATTTAAATGCACTTTTAAAGAATGAGTCACTCGTAAACCAACAAAACTGTTAGCAGCATTACTTTCACATTTTTTTTTTTTTTTTTTTAATTTTTTGCATTGTGTCCTGCAAAGTATGGACCTGGCACTGCTAGGTATTGTTAAAGTTTTCAACTTGTCATCATGCTTTTTATTTATGCCAATATAGCTTTTTCATTCGGAAATATGTGGACTTCTGCAAATTGATTATCCGAATAATAAATCACTATTGCCGGCATGTCTATATAAATCATCAAACACACGCAAGTTCTCGCCATAATAAAAGACACGAAAGACTATTGTCTTGTATAAACTATAACTGTTGTAAGACTATAGACATAAAATTTCAAAATCAACTTTAATGTCGAAAATGTAAAAATTGGACATAATTAAGATGGAATATTTGAACAATACAGATTCGTGTTTAATATTTTAATTTAATTATGTTCAATTTTTATATAGATAGATTATTAATAAACTTTTTCTATGAAGTAATCAGTAATTCAGCGTGAGAGTGACCAATATAGCTAGTATCATTAAAACAATTTGAGAATATAGGCCATATTTATTTTTTAAAATAGATTCGACAAATTAAGAAGAATTCGTTTCAATTAAAAAATGTTACTTTACCGGATAAAAATTTAATCATTGCAAGTAAGTGGAGTAATTGGAGTAAATGTGACAGATGCGGTAAAGTAGGACGTAGGAGAAGAATTGGAATTTGTACTGTTCGAGTGAGTAGAATATCTTTTTTATCCTACATAATAAAAAAATAAAAAAGATATTTTTCAAAGTCATTTGTATTACATAGAAAGTGAGAGTAAATAAGCCAACTTTTCCTGTAAACGAAAATCTGCTATCCGTATATAGAAATGGTATTCCTTGTCGATCCAAACTTCTACCAAAAGCTATCAGAAATTTACAAGAGATTAAGGAGAGGAAAAGTGAATTTTTAGTTGGATTTTGCAAAGTAATTTCTACATTATTCGATGCTAAGTGTTTATTTATGGGTCATATTTGATTAATTCGTCGAACGTTTTCGTTTAGAAGTCTTGTCCTACTCCACCTCCTATCGAATATGTGACCAACAAATTAGGTCAAATAATCGCAATCATAGATCGAAGCAAAGGGGAATATTCTCTTCGTGATCGTCTTCCTACAGTACCTCCCATTGTGGCTAGAGAAACGATTTACCAAAGCGAAGGCAGCTATTTAAAATTAGAATGTCCAGGGTTCTTACTATTTTTATTATATTAGATAATAAATTTTGTTATCACGTCCTCAATTTATATTATCTTGTAGAAACACAGGCGTTTATTTGACATGGAGGAATGAATCCTGGGTATTAAATCCTAGTTACGTTCATATCAAAACAAAAGGAAGAGTTATGATCGATTTTATAAATACTCTTCACATCAGACAACTTCGTGCCTCAGATACTGCTGTTTACAGGTAAATTGACATACAGTATTTGTTTATTCGTACTTCAGACTCTTTAATTAGTTTATTTTTTAGTTGTTGGGAAGATAATAGATTAGTCGGAACTGTTCGTTTATATGTAACGTCGCCTATTCCCAGAAAAGAAGTTAGTATAAGTGCTCTCAACCTATGCCTTCTTGCCACTTTTCTTGTTATACTCTATGTGACAATCATGGTAATCAAAAATAGAAAGTTGACCGCTGAAGCGTAGTCATTGTCATATTTAAGAATTTATTTATTACAAGAATGAATTATAAAATGTACATGATTAGTAAATTAACTGAAGAATTAAATCAGCATTCAGATAATAAAAGAACGTTTTTTATAAGTTTAAGAGATATAATGAAGAAAATTTGTCAAATACTTAATTGTAGTTATTCAATAAATCATTTTAAAAAAATATAAATTATTTGTTCTGAGTTCATATTTTTTCGTGTCGTATTGAAATTTTATTGTTACAATGAAAGCAGTGTTAGCAATCTAATGAAATGCAAACCTGTTTAAAATGCATTTAGTCTCCGAAATCAATATGTTTTGATGCAAAACATGACGGATAGATCTGTAACACAGAATTTAGCAAAATATAAAATACAGTATATATGCAGTGAAAATTTTACGTATATATGAACAAGTTTCCGGCGCTACAATACACAGATGATGTAGATATTTCCAGTTACATGAAGAGTTTGGTCTCTATTATGCTCTCTGGCATGTCAGTCGTTATTCAACGCCACATGGTCTGGTTTAATTATTTCTTTATTTTAGACGTGAATAACGACTATGTTCGAGGGTCATTAGGCAAATTTGTGTTACGAAAGTATATGACTTTTTCAGCCAGAGCGCGTAACTCCAAATTTAACGCTCAATATCTTTGAAGGTTTGATGTTAACACAACAAAAACCTATATGTAAAATATAGTATATTTAATTAATTTCCATACGAAATAACTTTTTTTTGTATTTTGTTACATATTTAATAAATTTTATTGCTCATAATAAAGTACTCTTCTCTACCAAACCGAAAGAATTTTATCTGCACAAAATACGTTTTAAGACACGGACTTTTAAAATATGCAATCAAATTTACATCAACGTGAATTGTTTTTAAGTTATAATGCGTAAATTTTAGAAATAAACAGCTCCTGCGACATTCTCGCGTCAGTGTTGTACTATGGCAATTTAATCAGCAATTTTATAATTCCTTAAGATAAAATAGCACATTTTATCTAACAGGATTACGTACAATATAAATTAGAGATAATCAATCTATTAAATTACTTTTCCATTCATAGATAAGAAAACTCTAAATACCAATAAAACTTAAATAAACAACTTAGTTTTTTTTAGAATTTACTTTTCATGAGTAATAATTATCGTAGCAAAAGGAAAATTGCCTTCAGAAGGCCACGAAGGACAATAGTCATCATCTAGATATGGCTGAGCTTGACAACTACCAACTCCTAACAGATTACTCACTCTAACTTTGACTTCCCTTTTCATATCATGCTAATAATATCCATAACCATCTGGTCCATCTAAATTCTACTTTTTTTTTTTTAATCAGAAAGCACAACTTTTTTCCACTTCTTGGTCCAACTCGTGACAGATTTAGCCTATTGAAGTATTTTTTGCTTGTGAACAGATATCAGATTAGGTATCACTTTCCTTTTTCAGTATTTTATATTGTTGTTATCACGAACACATCACCGCATCGTCTGAGGGACACCAGATTTTGGTAAATTAGCAGTTATCTGTCTAGTAGATAGCTGCTAATTGCTATTTTGTAAGGAAGAAAACCTTTCGTTTATCTCTGTCAGTTAATTTTTTCTTGCGTTCACTTCTCTCCATTTTCCACATTTTTCTTGTTTTGGCTATACGTTGGCCACAGAAGTTTTAGAATTATTAATTATTGCAGCTATTTCTCTGAAACTTTCCAGCACCTCGTAATTTGAATATTAAAATAAATTTAAATACTATTATATAAGTAAATAATAATAATAATAATATTATTATTATTATTATAGAATTTAAGAAAAAATTAATAAGATTAAAAATTACAGTCCGGAATGACGATGTCACAATAAATAAATGCTCGTTCTATTTTTACTTTTTTCCCCCTCTCTGTTATAAATAACAGAAGGAAAGTATGGCCAGTGGTGTAGCGTGGGTGTCAGCCGCCCGGGGTGGAGAAAAATTTCGCCGCCCCCTTATTTAGGTATCTCAATTTAAAAGAGTAAAATTCAGTTTTGTCACAGAGTAAGTAATGAAAAACTCCGTGCTAGTTTGCCACCTTTTTAAAATCGCTGACCTGGACGGCAGGTGAGGTTTGTTCGAACAGAAGTTCTTGACGCATGCGTATATCATTTTGCAATGCGAAGAATAATTTGCAGTACATGCCGGTTCTAAATCAGTTACAGTTAGCGACTAGGGAGACTTGGGTAGGAGTAACGTAATTTAGATGACTGAGCCCTATTGGATATTGGAGGTGTATATGAGTACGAATGAGTCGTACAAGCAAAAAAAAAAGTCGACAGGTTGCGCACGATATCCCCGGGCGGCGAGTTGCATGGTAACACTATTCCTTGCTCATTTCAATCGGTCCGAATCGTAGGTGGACGAAAGTCTATACAGTGGTACCTCAGGATACGAACGTCCCAGCATACGAAATTTTCAGGATACGACATGAAATTCGAACATATTTTTGCTCCACGACACGAACAAAAACTCACCATACGACGTTACATTAGTTCACAGCGCCATTTTTTATTCACTTCTGTTCGTCGGTCTCAGTCCGCGTGTTTGCTTTGTCGTGGAAGGATCTCGTTCAATAAAGGAAATCTTGAGGTATTATCAGAAAGTGACTGATTTTATTGAAAAGAAACATCCCAAAAAGATTCACATTGGCCGTATTGCTGCTCAGAGTAATGACTTTTGCCTAAGTCATTTTAGAAACATTTTAAAAGTAGGCAAAGCCAAACCTCTTTGGATAGATATTTTACCAAGCGACCTCTATCCAGTGAAAGTGCTGGTGGAAGTGAAGAAAGAAAACAAAAAAGCAGTGAATAAAAAAATTAAAAAAAAAATATAAAACAGGAAAGATAAAAATAACTTAACACTAATTTTTTAAAGTTATTGTTACATTATGTTATGTAAGTTAAGTTTTAGTATTATTTCCCTTCTCCCTCTCTTCCGCTACCAGTTTACACCTCCACCGTCGTCTATCCTCAAAGGTAAAGTGCAAATAAAACTACATTTTTTTATCAATTATTATTTTATTATGGTTATTTATACATTTACGACTACAAAACGCATTTTTCAGTGTTTTCCTTACTACAGTTTTTTTTAATGTACAACTTAGCTTTAATTTGAGTGTGTTTTTCGTGTTGGAACGAATTATTTGGTTTTACATGTAATCGNTCTGCTAGTATGAAATAAAATGGTTCAAATTCTTACAAGATATTATTATTATTTATTGTCAAATTTTGCCGTCCCCTAAAAAGTGCCGCCCGGGGCGGGCAGCCCCTGCCGCCTCCCTACGTTACGCCACTGAGTACCGCATTCAATCAAAAAATAACCCCTCCAAGATATTTTACACTATTGGACTCAGAGGATCTTGAAATGTCGAGAAATCTAACAGAAACCCCTCTTTTTTTATGTATGGATGTTAGTGTGGGTGTATGGGAGGAGGGGCCCGATTTTGTGTTACTCTGTTTGAAATTTAATAACTCCTGTGCTTTTCGTCGAAAATTTCCGAAATTTTTCAAGGAGGTTCGTGTTTTAGGGAGATTGATGCTGTTGAATTTTTGTGGTTAAATGTCGACAGGGTGGACAGATAAAGGGAATCGTGTGTCATTTCTGGAATAGGTCCAGACTTAATTACGACTTTACTCGTTAGTAGCATTTACAATTTTTTTATTATTATAAAACCCACCCCTACCTTCTAAATTAAGTTCATTGCCATCGTATAATAGTTAAAAATGTAAAAAGATTTTAATAAGATATAACAGATGTTGCCGGAAAAGTTAAGCAAATCGTTGTTGGATTTTTAAAAAATTTTTCCCATGATGTTTAAAACGTGTTTTATCAAAAGGCTCGCGAATCTCATTTTAATGTACTTTTATTTTTCATGCGACTTTTTCACTACTGAATTCCATGTTTTTCAAATCAAATTTTGCTAATTTTTGTCTCATTATGAATTTTTGCTCTTTTCGTCACTCCTCATAACTGTTAATAATGTTTTAAATTATAAATTAATCCAAAAATGCGCAAATTTAATATTTTTATAAATATCGAATCTTTAAACAGTTAATATGAAATTCAATGTTTTATTAAATANGTTCAAATTCTTACAAGATATTATTATTATTTATTGTCAAATTTTGCCGCCCCCTAAAAAGTGCCGCCTGGGGCGGGCCGCCCCTGCCGCCTCCCTACGCTACGCCACTGAGTACCGCATTGAATCAAAAAATAACCCCTCCAAGATATTTACATTATTGGACTCATAGGATCTTGAAATGTCGAGAAATCTAACAGAAACCCCCCTTTCTTTATGTATGGATGTTAGTGTGGGTGTATGGGAGGAGGGGCCCGATTTTGTTCACTCTGTTTGAAATTTAATAACTCCTGTGCTTTTCGTCGAAAATTTCTGAAATTTTTCAAGGAGGTTCGTGTTTTAGGGAGATTGATGCTGTTGAATTTTCGTGGTTAAATGTCGACAGGGTGGAGAGATAAAGGGAATCGTGTGTCATTTCTGGAATAGGTCCAGACTTAATTACGACTTTACTCGTTAGTATCATTTACAATTTTTTTTTATTATTTTAAAACCCATCCCTACCCTCTAAATTAAGTTCATTGCCATCGTATAATAGTTAAAAATGTAAAAAGATTTTAATAAGATATTTAACAGATGTTGCCTGAAAAGTTAAGCAAATCGTTGCTGGATTTTTAAAGGATTTTTCCGATGATGTTTAAAACGTGTTTTATCAAAAGGCTCGCGAATCTCATTTTAATGTACTTTTATTTTTCATGCGACTTTTTCACTACTGAATTCCATGTTTTTCAAATCAAATTTTGCTAATTTTTGTCTCATTATGAATTTTTGCTCTTTTCGTCACTCCTCATAACTGTTAATAATGTTTTTAATTATAAATTAATCCAAAAATGCGCAAATTTAATATTCTTATAAATATCGAATCTTTAAACAGTTAATATGAAATTCAATGTTTTATTAAATATAAAATGTATACACAATCGTGAAAATTCCACGTACTGTACAAATGTAATTGTTGAAGTAATTATAATTCTGGTTTGAACACATATGGACTGCAAGGTTTGTTTGGTTAA